TATTATATATATATATATATATATATATATATATATATTTTGATAAAAAAAATATTCCCTTTCAAATATTAAAACTTGATAATTATTGTACGAGTAATAAAAATGTATAAGCTAATGAAATTTAGAAAATTTCTTCTAGATAACCTGGATATTTAAATATTGAAATGAAATTGATCGTTTTAATTTTGCAGAATAACAAGGAATGAAATAGAATCAATTGTCGAATAATTCAGATTTAAGATACGTACAATTGCTATCTATGATAGATAAGAAAGCCAGTATTTATTACTTTAATAAAGAATCTTGTAGGTATATTAACAGCAATCTTGATTTCTATAATTATTTAAAAAAAAATGAAATAAACTATAAAATCCTAATAATTAATTAATTAATACAATATAATATATATATATATTCATTGAATTTTCAAATCTTTAATTAATCATTTATCTTTTTCTATCCTACTCTATGAAAATTTAAATAAATATCGATTTAAATGCTATTCTTCCATTGCAGATTATCGCATTGGAGAACAATATGAAGACGCCACAATATTTTGGAGGATACTGTGGCGTATTGAACATAGGAATGACGGTTATAGTGGCCCTCTACATTATCATGGGATTCTTTGGTTACATAAAATATGGATCCAGTGCTGAGGGTAGCGTTACTTTTAATTTACCCTCCGAAGAAATGTAAGTGATATTTGTTGTGTGTATTTATTTTTGTTAAAAAAATATTGTTATCGAGGATCTAACTATTTGTTTTTGCATTACAGTATGGCACAAAGTATCAAAATAATGTTCGCAATCGCTATTTTTATCACGCATGCCCTTCAAGGATATGTTCCAGTCGATATTATTTGGAACACTTATCTGGATCAAAAGATACAGAAGAGAAAAATCTTCTGGGAATATGTTTGTCGAACTATCATCACTTTGAGCACGTGTAAGTTTTGTTGATTGAACGTGTTTTTTAATATTACATTTGAAGTTAATAACACAGAGATTATGAAATATGATACAACCTCTTCATCTCTATATTATGCACTCTTTATTTCTTCTTTCACAATCCTATATATATATCTCTTCATTTATTACAATATCAATTGTAATTAAATTAACCATCACTGTCTTTGCACCAAGTCTCTTTCATCTCTTTTGATATTTTTCTACTTAATCCTCTTAACTATTCCTAAAAATTTACAATTCTACATCTCTTTCTTTTCTTGTAATTAAATTAGCCATCATCGTTTTCTCTTTCATTCCTTTCTTTACCTCATTTTGCACAATATAAAATCTTCCTCTTGCAATCACATTGGCCATCACCATTTCCAAACAAGATCTCTTCATCCCTTCCATTTCTCCTTTCTTTATATCTCTCTATTTTATCTTTCTAAAAACGATTCTTTATTATATTCTTATAACAATCTTATGATATTCTTTAAAATCATCTTCTTACAGTCACATTGGCCATCACCATTCCCAGACTGGGTCTCTTCATCTCTTTATTCGGCGCCCTCTGCCTCTCCGCCCTTGGCATCGCGTTTCCAGCCATCATCGAGATCTGCGTCCTCTGGCCGGACCGTGACTTGGGACCCTGCATGATAATGCTCGTAAAAAATCTCCTGCTGATCATATTCGGTCTCCTGGGACTTGTGATCGGCACATACGTGAGCATGGTCGACATAATAAAGTCATTCAAGTGACTTCATCATTTCAAGTGAGGCCTTCGATCGATATCAATTCAAGAACGATCGAAGGAAGGCAGACAGATGGGGATGAGAGGAGAGCAGAAGGGTTAAATGAAAAAAAAAAAAGCAGTTTGGACACGCTTGTTCGAGTATCGAGGACGAGGCTTCGTCACAGTTTTATAGCTTAATGTGAGCGGCGCCTTTTTAGGTAGTCAGGTACCTCCAAAGCGGCTGGAAGTCTTTCTTTTAGTGGAAAATCGCGAGGATGCATTCTGGAAATGCTTCTCGTTAGTGCACGTAGGTCGAGTTTAGATGTTTTATTAAGATGGAGAGTCGTGCAGTGTTGGATAAAAGAGAGAGGAAACACGATTAATGGAGAATTTAATTGCTTGGAGTTTGATTTTGCAAAGTGTTGGATAAATTTATTAATTTAATCGTTGCTGTTTGATAGTGGATAATTAGGCTGTTAAGATAATAAGCGTTTATGATTCTTCTATTCAAATTTAATTCTAATCGTATTTTTAATGAAATTAATCATTCCTCCCTTTCGAATTAGAAATATTAGATCGAATATTGTCCATTAAGAATATTTCGCGTTTTTTCGCAAAGAGGAATGCCCTCGAACACGGTGCCTATATAAATGATTAAATGCCTAGCTCACCTTAGTCGCACTGCCTGAGAGTATTTTGAGAAGAACGAATTAAACGTTCTTCGAGTTGCTCCGTTTATTCGAAAGTATCTTAAATAAATAATAAAAGGCTAAGTAGACAACTCGTAAGATTAATATATATATATTGTAGAAAATTAAAATTAAGTCGAGCAATTTTATAAACTAAATCGAAAGGGAGGAATTATCACGAATTAACAAGATCCATTTATGAATTTCAAAAATTTTTTTACGATAAAATATTTGTTTGCATCGATGTAATTTTCAACATTAATTATAATGATGTTTTATTTTTAATTTTTAAATGACGCCCAGCACTGGACACAGAACGCTCTTCGAAGAAAAAAAGAAACTAAAAAAAAAAATAAATAAATAAATAAAAAAAAAGAATAAAAAAGAAGTGAAAGAAATATCGTGACAAAACGAAACCTGTGATCGAAGATTTTATAAAACGAATGTTGCATTTCTATCGAATTTGTTGATTATTGTTGAAAGAGTTTACAGATATATATACATATATATATATATATATATATATATATGGACGTTAATTATTTTTCGAAAATGAAAAAAGAATAATTGCGAAGTCGTTCGAGAGTCTTTCTTTCGTTCTCGGTGATACGAGTACTTATGCTCATCTTACCGGATGTTCCTACATCCAGTGTGATTCAGATGTTGAAAAGGAAATTTATTATTTTTTTTTTTATCAATTTTGTGACAATTGGAAACGGTATCAAAATAAGAAAAAGAGAAAAATAAGAACTCGTAATTATAAAAGTAAAGAAAAATATGTATAGTCAATGACTATTATATTATATATTAAAGTAAAAAGAAATGTAATTTCGAACTAAGATATTATATAATCGTGACTATAGAATAGAAGAAAGGCTGTACTGTCAAGAATTACATATGAATTATATTTTTAAGGAAAATCGTTTTTAAAATTTAAAATCACAGTTATAACGTTAGAAAATTTATATAATTATCTATTATAAAATCTAAACTAAAGAAATGCTTTTTAGAAAAAATATCATATAACTGTGATTATAAAGTAATCAGAAATTATGTTATCAGAATTAAAGATATCAATTATTAAAAGAACAGATTTATAGTCACGATTATAATGTTACAAATCTGATATAGATATCAACTATCCGATTTAAAAAATATTATTGTTAATGAATATAAGATAATATAGGATAGAGAACCGTTTTATAATCATCTATTATATATGCATAAGCTATAAACAAATAAAATAGGTAGCTAAACTTCTTTATTTACATTGAAATTTTGCACAAGAATGATTAATTTAAGACAGTTATAAGATATTTGTTTAACTATAGGTACTACTGTACCAAAAACATAGCATTTGTAATTGTACATATTCTAGTCTTTCTTGTCAAATTTCAATGTAAAATCCCTAAGAAAAATCCCTAAAAAAAAAGAATCAAAAGTTTGGCCACCTATTTCAATTGTATCCCGCATACCCTGAATCCGAGCCAAAGAAATTGCAAATTATAATCACCTTAAATAACTTTTTATCATAATAAGCAATTATTCCTCAAGCAATTAAAAAACAAAACTATTCATAACCAAATGAATATCTTATACAATTGTTAAACGGTACATAAAGAAATCATTATGAATTCTCGCGAATCATTATAACCTCTCAACGCCTGAATCATTCGTACGCCAGGACAGAAAAAAGCAACGACACAATAAGAGAAATAATAATAGTGATAATAAAAGAATGAAGGTCTAAGCTAAGACAACTGACGCCAGCAATAACAATCAGAGGCTCATCATCAATGCCTTATTTTGTATTCGTTCGCGGCTACGAATCAAGCAAGCTGAACCAGAGATCAAAGTTCAACATGGAATAACGTACCGTAAAAACGAGATGCACCGCTACTTCTGTATCATCGTCACTGCCGGGAACTCACTCGGATCATCATGCGAGTCACGATGCAATATACACGTACAAACTCACACAAATAAAATATGTAAATCAAAGATTGATCACAACCTCCGCGTCGAACGATTCGTGACACACGACTCCCGCGCTCGTACTTTGCGTTTGCGCGAGACCGAACGAAAAATCCCGACGCGATACGAATTTACCCGAATTCCTTCGTATTTATTCGCATTTTAACGGGGCTACGACGATCGCACAATCATTTTTTAATTAATTCAAATTTCGATATTTTCATTGATTTTTATTTGATTTGTTTCCAGTTACCGAAATTTAAAACTTCGCTTAGTGCTTTTTTTCTATCGATTTTTTTTTTTTTTGATTTTTCGTTAATTGGTGAAATTAGAGGTTATAATTAAAAATTTTATTGCTATAATTTGAAGTTTTTATAAACTACATCCAATAAGAATTATAATTTTGTTAACATTATAACTTTTTAAAAAATTGTTTAATAAAAATAAATTCTTCATATGATAAAAATATAAGAGGTTATATCTTATGAAATTTATATTGTTTCAATAATAATTTTTTAATTGTCAATTGTCTTAGAATAAAAAAAGTAAAAAAAAAGAAATTAATTATAATATTTTTGAATATATTAATAATGTAATATGAATATATTAATGTATTGGATATCATTTATATTAGAAATTTCAAATTATGTCAATAATAATAATCATAAACCATAAAAGTTTAAAATTTTTGTAACAGAAATTAATGATTAAAATTGTTTTTTTAATTTTGCGGTTAAAGATCATATGCATATATTACGTAAAAAATTTTACTATTAAAAAATATTTAAAAAATATTACCATTAAAAAATTTCATTTCTTTTTTGATTTAATGATATTTTAACCTTCATTGCTTTGTAAAATATTTTACGGATAAATATTGTAATATTATTGTTAAAAAAATATCAGTTGAATATTAAAAAATATAGTGATATAATAATTGTATGTTGAAATGAGAATTATACATATGCTCGTTAGACATTAGACATGATGTTACTAATTTGAAGTCTTATTGGAAATTTTCAGATAAAAAATAAATCAAGAATTGTACTTATGGATTTCACAATTAATGGAAATATTGGTGCAATTAGATTCGCGATTACGGAGAGTGTATTTTTATTTGTTGACTGTGTCAATTTTTAAACCGGAAGCAATTGTCAAGTTTTGTATGTTTCTACAGATTTTTTTTAAAAGATCTGTATTTTGCTTATATGTTTTAAATCTGAATTTTTTATTTTATTTTTGGTCATATTTCTAATATAATAAACTCTCTATTCTTACCCGGCTTGTCCGATTTATTTCGAACCTTTCTCCTGTAATTGTTTAGTTATACAAGTAAGTATTCTTTTAAATGTATAATCTGAAAAATTGTTATATGCAATAAAATATTTTTTGCTTTGATTAAAAAATATATCTTTTGTATAGAATAAACTATAAATTACAAAAATAAATAATATTTTCTCATAAAAATGAAAAATTCTACATAACCTAAAATTTTCAAAAAAAATATTTAAACAAGAAAGAAAAAAAAATTGTTGCTTTTAGATTTGTTTGTTAATAAATATATGAAATAAAATCTTAAGAAATTGAATAGCCCGGCCTGTATAAAGGTTAATTAAACATTTATTATTCAAACAGCGATTCGATTCGATATTCATTTCTCTCAAACATATTTATATATGACTAATAATTGTCATATTTCTTTAAACAATTTTTTTTAAATTCGATCGAGAGAATTATTAATATTATCGACATCGGTGTTTAGCGACACAACTCGTTATATAAAATATTGTAAAATGCTACATTTATACTTTTCTTCATTTTTTTTCTTCTTTTTATCGCTTTAATTATATCTAACGGTTATAATTAACGATTCTATCAATTTATTCATTAACGAACGAATAAACTTATAATCTAATATTTAATCGAGAAAAATTGATTTTTTAAATATCTCCTTATGGTATGTTTAAAAATAAAATAAAAAATGATAATAGGGTATAAAGTAATGATTGTTAAGATGTTTCTTTTTTATACAATGTATTGTAATTTTCACTAACTCGTATGGTTCTTAATAAATGCTTCTTGTCAAACCTAATAGCTCGGCTATTATTTTTTTCTTTTTAGATTGCAATGCTATGATTTAAAAATCCTTTCTGAATCGATTTTCACATAAATGTTTTTTCTCTTTTTTTCTTAAAGAATTAAGAAAATATAATAGTACTTTTATGATACTTTAAAAAAATTAAAGACAATAGCTAGATCTTTCATTCTAATAGTATAAAATTTTTTAAAAAAATTTTTAAAAATGAAAACTTATGAAAACTTTATTCCATAAATTGGTCAATTTATATATTGAAATTTTTCTTAATAGTCATTGATTTCTATTGAATTTCTATTTTTATTTTATTTTTTTTATTGAAAATTTGCACATTGCAAAATATGCCAACACAGAAGAATCTCGATTCAGAATCATGTTTGTTAACAATAATCTGGCAGAAATAAAATCGACGTTTAAATAGATGCATTTTATATGTAGAAACCGAGTACATCATCATCGTTTAATATTAAATCTAAACAATGATACATCTTAGGCTTGCATGTTTTTGCCTCTCGTTTTAATATCACGAGAATCATTTTAATTAAATGACATAGCATTGAAAATGATAATCGTGTAGCAATACTGATGAAAATCTATTGTACAACATTTTTTTCTTATCGATAAATAAATTACGTATGGTAAAATAAAATTGATATGATAATAAAATAAGTTAATGATACAAATTTAAGAATACTATCTCAAAATAAATGGAAATTTTTTAAATTCGATTTTAAAAAGGACAAAATTCTGGATCTTAAAAATTCAAAAAGTTTTTCAGAAATTTATGGAATCATAAAATTAGAATCCAACAAAAATTAAGAAATAAAAATTAAAAATTTGATAATATATCAAAATAACAAATCAAGCAAATAAATACATATCACAGAATCAAGAAAAAATAAGAATTAAAATGTCTTGATAAATCAAAATTTATCTGACTAGATAAATAGAAATAAATTAAACAGAAAATAAAAAGAAAAAAAAATTTAAGCAATAAAATATTCTAATAACTAAACTTTTTTTTAAACTAAACTAAACTAATAGTTGACTAGATAAAAAAATAAATATTAGTTCATTATAAATTATATTTGTATTGATTTAATTTTTCTTTAAAAACTTATAATAAATAACTAAATATATCTATCTATTTTAAAATCTAAGAAAAATAAATCAAAAAAGAATGTTGTACAGTCTTTTTCATGCATTTTGAATTACAAACCAAAAGACAGGAAGTGTTGCAATTAATGACACATCGATTATGCGCAGGGACCAGCTACGCCGATGGGGTTAGGTGAACCAGTCACAAGAAAAAGAGGAGAACATTATTTTCTTTTTTTCTTTCCCTTTTTTTTTCTCTTATTTCGCATTTTCTTGTGTTTCCCTCTTTTCTCTCAAAGATTACGCATGGTCACCACTAAAATAACTACTCTGCATCATAAACAGTTTGTCGATTGGATTATGAATCGCAGCGTGCAAACTCTGAGACAAGGAGGGTGCCTCGTGAGACGTCGGTCCATGGTGGGAGTGGCTGCTACTTTGATGACCACCCTCTTGGCCACCACCACTTTCGTTCTCACCTATGTCGAAGCCAGCTTCCGTGCCGTCTAACGACAAATCACTGCTGCAAAAACTCTCACCTGAATGGCCTGGATACGCGTCTGAAATTAAGAGTTGAGATTAGATGAAAAATAAGAAAGTAATATAGATTTTTGAACTATTTGAACTATTTGGTTCTTTGAAAATTTTTGAAGAATTCTTTATATATTTTAATTAAATCTGAAAATGTATGCATATAATTTTAAAAAATTTAAAAGAATTTTGAATAGATAGAAATTAATGAAATAGACAAACATTAGAATTTGGAGAATTATCCCTGCAACATTAATGATTTAATGATTTTCTACAAGAAGAAGAGACTTACCGTCGGGCGAGTACGGGTTATTGGGGTTGAGCGGTTGAGTGGCTGAGGGGAAGCTAGAAGATTCCCCATCACGCATGTTCATGGCGTTCAAGTAATGACCTGCGAACGAGATCAAACGATTGGCATTGTACCAATAAACATTTATCGGGGCCCCATTAACCAGTCTTCGCAAAACGAAATTCGTCTAATTAAATATTTAAATCTAAAAGAATTTAAAAACGAAAGATCGTATTAGAAATTTGGAATATTCAAATAACAAAAAGGACAAAGTAAAAATTGGAAAAGAAAATTTAGTGAGCAATATAAATAATAATGTACAAAATGAATTGATAATTTTATTTAAAAAATTTATTTTTATATTTATAAATTTATACTTATAATTGAAACTGTTTGAAAATCTTCTTTATTAATGAAATATGAATAAAAATAGAGTAAAAGATATAAATAAAATAAAACAAAATAAATTAAATTATAAAAAAAATAGTGTTATTTAAAAAGATAAAGATATCTTGATACACAAAAAATATTTCATTTTTTTGTAATTAATTAAATTTTTAGAATTAAAATTTTTTTATATTCTTAAAATAATGATGATTAAGATGAAAATAAAATTATTAATCCATCTTACATTTTAAACTTCAATCTTTCACTAATAAATCTAATTTTATTATCAATTATTCATCAATATATTGTTCATAATATTCTTCCAAAATTTCAATTGATTTGCCTTTCTCATTCAAATCACTGCAAACAAATTTCCATCTAATTTCACAACAATGTTTACATGCAACAATGCTTCTAATAATAATAAATAATAATTAATATGAAAATTCTTACTGTGATCACTATGAGGACTTTCTGTCCGACGTTCCTCCTTTGGTTCTTTATCCGATCCAGGCTCAGTCTTCGCTTTCCTTTGTAACTTTTTCATTTTTGCCCGTTGGTTTTGAAACCATACTTGCACCACACGTACACTGAGACCTGTATCTTTCGCTAAAGCTTCGCGAACTTTTCGACAAGGTTTCGGCGATACTTCAAACGACGCTTTAAACTGACGTCTCTGCGCTGATGTGAGAATCGTCCGTGGTCGTTTGGGCCCCCGACGACCATCACGGGGTCTATTATCGTCCAATAAGTCATCGTCTGCAAATAATTTAATGTTAATTTTATTTTCTTGAATTTTAGTCAAATTTTATACTAATGTAATTTATTATATTTATACTAATATAACTTTTTTAATTTTATATTAATGTAAAAAAAAATATAAATAATATAAATATAATTTAATTAATAAATTAAATAAATATAATTTAAAATGAATAAAGGAATTATGAAAAAAGAAATGTTATTTACTAATGTTTTTGTAACATAAATAAGGTATAGAACAAAGAGTATACAGAAAATGAAAGAAGAATATTTATTGTTAAAATAAATAATTGTTAAAATAAATAAATAATTTAAAACGGAAAATAAAATTTGTAAAAAAAAACCTAAGAAAATTCAAATTAAAATATTTGAAATAATATTTGAATAAATGTAAACACAAAGAAAGCAAAGGAATCAATAATTAGAACATAATTTGAACTATAAATAAAAGCTGTAAAAAAGAATTTAAAAGTAATATTAATAAGAATAGACAAAAGATGATTCAAAAAAATTCAATAATTCCAAAAAATCGTGATTAACAAACTGCTCTTCCATCGATTTCACCATAAGTTTCCTTTAAACAATTAAATGCAATATTTAAGAAGAAATCAAGTTTCATTTACTTACGAAAAAATTATAAAAAATATTCAATCAGAGAAAACGCGAATGCTAATATTTTCATCTCATATATTTAGATTGGCGTTCTTTTTTTTCATCAATTATTTTTCCGTCCAATTTATGGAAGAATCGTTTCTAATTATTGCTTGGTTTAAGTAGTATTTACCTTGAAAAGAGACACAGCCTTGATTCGAAATTCCTGCAGGTTTTTACTTTGGATGTCTTTAGATTGTAGTAGTACAACCTGCGAACAATGCAACAAGGTATGTACAATACGTCTCGCACGTCGTTTCGTCGATTATTTCATCATTATCAATTTTTTTTTATTTCCAATTTTTCGTCTGTTTCAATTTTCCTTTAATTTTTCATTTTTATTTAAATATTTATTTCTAGAAAATAATTCTATCGATCGAATGTAAATACGCGCTTGGTCACGAAAAATTTTACGAACGAAACTTTGTAAAACCATCATTTTCGATCATAGGTTTGACAATTTTTCGTTTGATTGAAACAATGTCAATCTATATATTTTTTTCCTACAGAGAACCGCCAATCTCGATTTTATCGAAATCGATAATAAACAGAAATCGTGATAGTTGAGCAGTTTGCTATCGAATATTTCGATTTTACGAGAATACTGTATCGCATTACACCTATATAAATTCACGTACTATGTGTAATATCAAAACAGTTTAAAAGTTTATTTTATTTTGTAATATTTTAATAAAATAATAAACAGGAATATCTTTTATTAACTGAAGAAAATGAGAAAATAAGAGAATATATAGAAAATAACATGCAGGACTTAGAATAAAATAATCTTTAGCAAATTAAAAAATTCAATTTGATGTATTAATTCATTTTTGATAATCAATTATTAGAAAATTATTAATGTAATTATAATATAAATTAAAAATTGTATAATTTTATTAAAGTTAGATAATAAAAGATGTAAATGTACAGAAATAAGAAAAAGCAAGGAAACTAACCTTTTTTGAACAATCATGCTATATTTTTATCTTACGTCTTATTATGATATTATACTAAAAGATAATAACTAATATGTCTTTGTGCGAAATAGATTTTATATTATATTATTAATTTAATGAATACTTAATTTTGATCTAAACATAAAACAACAACAAAAAAAAAATAAAACGAATATTGATGAAATGAAAAATATTTTTACTAATTTCAATCAAAGGAGCAAAAGCGCCATCTATGTGAATTTCAATCCATTAAAATTAAAGAAAACTAAAAATATTAAAGAAATAAAAAATGATATTTATTATAATTTACAAAATTAAAAAAAACAGCTAGCTAAAATAACAAGAAATAGAAAATATCACGTATATTAATCTTAATTTATTACAATATATTACAAAAATTATATTAAAGAATAAAACATTTCTAATACTTGTACCAACCTCGATCCAACAAATGTCAGTTATACCAATCTTAATTCTTAATAACATCACAAAAATCATACTGAATATAAAATTAAAATTGATTCTAGTTATAACTAAAAAGTAAAAAAAATAAAAATTATAAAAACACAAGACATCATGTATACCGATTATGACTAACTACAAAATGACTATAAAATACAGACATTATTAAATAAAAAAGTTAAATAAAAATATCATAATACACAGAAAGAAAATTCAACAAATATTGAAGATAGGAGACATTATAATATATATAAGTAAAGAATTTATTGGCTGTATAAATAAAGATCTATACAGTAAATAATAAGATTTTATTTCTGAACAGAAAAATTAATGCTAACATTGAAATTCTATTTGATTCGAATATTATAAAAAACTATAGGAAACGCAGAAGAAAGAACAAAAGAAAGAACAATTAAATTATTATTTTTGCTTCCGATAGACGTCGCCTAATGACATCTCCTCAATAGTTTCTAATAGATGTCGCCATTGTTATATGTTACAACTACAAAATAAAATACAAACATTATTAAATAAAAAGGCTAGAAAATAAAAGCATCACAATAAAAAGAAAAGAAATTCAACAAAACATCATAAAATAGTAGACATAGAAGACATAATATCCACCAACCTTGAGGACTGTTCAGGTACAACTCATGCTCATAGTCCCTTCGGCAGATCGGTTGTCCCTGACGTAGGAATAATGTGCGCCAGGGGGCAATGGCTGGCCGCACATGCAACACGCAAAACACTCCACGTGAAATACCGAACCCGGTGTCCTTAACACGAAATCCGAGCAGCTGATCTTCTCCATGCATCGTGCACACTTGACTCCAAAGATCCGCTCGTAGTCGGTCCGACAATAGAGTTTTAATTCGCGGATGAAACAAGAATGAATTAAAGGTGTTGCACACGCGGCGCATGACAGACATTCTTCGTGATAGTTTCTTCCAGCTACTTGCATCACATACTTGTCGACTATGGTGCGACCGCAACCAGCACAAATCGTCTCCAAGAGGCCTGATTCCGTCTTCACTGATACCGACGGCTCTGAAATCAGCAATTGAACTTTTTTTTATAATATTTTGGATAACATGTATTGAGGTTTGTCTTTTTTGTTTTTTAGACTTTTATCTATATTTTATTTTCTTTTTTTATTTAATTTAATTTGTTTTTACTTAGCTTTTTCTCTTTGATTTGATTTCACTTGATATGTTTATTTCTTTTTCTTTTTGGTTTATTTTTTGATCTTTATTTGATTTGAATTTATATAGGTTAGTTTAATTTGTTTTTATTTAACTTGAATTCGTATTATTTTGAATTATTATTATTTTTTTTTTATCTAGGAAACGAAAACTTGTAATAGAAATAAACTAAAAATTTGAACTAATGACAGATTCGAAATTTTTGCTAAAAATTTATGAACTACTAACAATCTAAAATTAGATAAATTCGATATCCACAAAGTACTTATATTTATTTATTAACCTTCTGTAACATCATGTAAGTTGGACATTATTCATATGTCCATATGTTACAAGTTTACTTTATTTATAATACTTATCAATATGTTATCGCTTATTTTATTACTATACGATTACTAGCGGTAAATGTTTACATAAATTATTAGCATCTCGATTAGAAGCATAAAAATATTACTTATCTTAGATAACTAAATAAAATTTAAAAAAAAAAAAAAGAAAAATTATGAACTTGCAAAAAGAACAAAAATTTAATTCTTACGTGTAAGTTTATAAATTAACTTTTTATTATTTCTATAATATGTGATTCAGAAAATATAAATAATAAATTTGAAATATGACAATATTTAATTAACGATTGATAGATCAATTATTTTGAAACTTTCTAAAAAACTCCAATATAAAAATTATTCCAATATCTCTCTTAAGTTAAGTAAATTTAATATGATATTTGTTTATTGAAAATATCAATATTTATCATGATATTTATTTATTAGAGATATCGATATTTATTATGATATTTATTTATTGCAGATATTGGTTGAAAATCACTTCATCTCTTTTTATATAAGTTTAATTAAATTAATCCTCAAAAGAATTTCTATTCCTTAATTTAATATTATATATAATCAATTCTACAAGAAATTGAACATGAATTTTTTTTCTAGGAATGTTTCATCGCAAAAGAAATAAATACGCATGAAGTTATGCCGAATGATATGGCTGTCAGACTGAGAAATGTGATAGCATTCTAGAGCAGAGTAATATTGCGAGTCTCATGAAATTTGTTCCGTCGCTTATCGATTGTCGATAGCGATAAAGCTGCACTGGAGGATAAAACACATAATAATTTTCTATTTACGTGGTTATTTTAATTTATACAAAGAGTTGTTTTAATTATAATATATTTCAATTATAAATAAGATACTAAAATAAACAAAATACTATATTCTCGGTAAGTAAGAAATAATTATACTATTATTATTATATATATTATTACATAATTATTAATTTATTAATGATTTTATTAGACAAAAATTGTTTATAGATAAATTTATGATATTTGTTATTTCGATATAATATAATATAACATGTTAACATAATTTTTATATCGAAATTTTTCACGAAAGATCAAACTTGATTTATTAATAATCCACTAGATATTGTAATATATTTATCGTTATTGTATTTTCTGAATAATTATATTACAGTGATAGAAAAAATATTAGCAAATTAAAATATTCTAATAAACCATTTAAACATGGAAGATAGAAAAACAGCTAAAAAATAATCTATAATAAAATAATTATTAAAAATAATTATATTATTGCCATTTTGAATCGAAAAAATATGATTTTTCAGTGTGCCATAAAATTTTACTAATATATTTTTGCAAAAACGGTGAAAATATTAAAATCACTAATTTAAAAAAAATTATTGACTTTACCTGCATTGTTATTGTCATTTGCAGGACGAAATGGAATCGGGGGTGCAGCAGATCCCATAGTCGGTGGACCCGACTCACCCTGCCGGTTCAAGCTACCTGGTAGCGGAGGGTAGAATTCCAACATGGTTCCTTGTGCCCTCGAGCTTTCAATTTCTCAGTCTCCTCACCACTTTTTCACTACTTGCACTTCTCAACAATTTTTTCCTTTAATTCTCTCCTTTTCTTTTTCAATAATCTTTAAAGAATCAATCTCTGCGATTCCTCTCAGACCATCAAAAAGTTTCAAGTCATCAGAATTCACAAATATCAATGAAATAACAATCTATCCAAACCTTTATATCAACTTCCACGTCTAAACTTCCAAGTTTAAGCGTCTTTTTGGTTATCAAGATCCAAGTTCACAATTTCAATAATATAATAAGTATAACTTGTTTCATATATCTATATTCCACGTCTGTCCAAGTCTAAAAGTCTCTTTAGTCACCAAGATTTAAATTCACAATTTCAATAATACAAATGTAATTATTTTGTAGATCTATACTTCGACTTCACGTCTGTCCAAGTGAATAAGCTTCTCTTCGGTCACCAAGATCCAAGTTAATAATTTCGAGGAAACAACAAGTATAATCTGTCTATAGATCTTCAATTTCACTGTTTGTCAAAAACGAAGCTCAAGACACAAATAGAAATCCGAGTTCACAAAATCGAGCGTCCTCGAGATCGAGTCATTCCTGATCGTTCAACCCTCTCCCGTCCTTCGACGCGGTGACAGGTCTCAAGAAAGGATCCCATGGTCAACTCGAGCCATCCTGACGGACTTCCAACCCCAGTGAAATTTCGATCCTCCGTTTGATACCATTCTGACGCGAACTTTGTCTCTTTTTGATTATTCTGTACCGCGAAGGGTTTTCGTTCTTGAGTTCGTACTGGTACAGTTCTGGACGATACTGTGTCTAACCGTGACAGTTGATACGTGTCAGCGGCCCGAACTCTCAGGCTTTTTTGATGCCAGCCACTGCATCGACAGTGAAAATCATTCCCCACCCACCTGCGCCGCGAACGACGATCGACTAGAGGGTGAGAATCGAGGGCGGGACGATGAAGGCTCGCTAAGGGAGACTAAAGCTGCGATGTGATTGGTTTGAATTGGAACCGCCCCTCGATGGAAGGTTGTGGAGAGGGTGAGTTGGTAATCGCGGTGCTCAACTGGTTGCGCGATGTTTCCGGAGATCAATATCTCGCGACAGTGACGTATAATGTTGGTGAAGGACTTTGGGATTGTTACCTTGAATTTGAATTGTTGAGGATTTGTTGGCCACGAATGCTTAGAATAAATTGATGAATTATGCAATGGAGTGATGATGATTTGTGATTTCATAGACTTGATATTTGCATACAAGTATGATGAAAGAATTAAATATGAATTATTTTGGATAAAGTCAGAATTAAATGGGTGAGCGAAGAATTTGAGATTACTTTGAATTTGAAATTGTTGAACATTTATTGATGAATGGTTATTGAGAATGTAGAAAAAAAGAGTTTGGTCGATATCGATTAAATATGCTCTAAAAAAGTTATAACAATATTTATATTGATAGAAATTTGAGAGAGATTTATAATTCGTTAAGTTTAAGAATATTTTAATCACTTATGTACATAAGTAATTAAATATATCATATCAGATTACGTTTGTAATTTTAATCTTCCAATCTCTTTTAATTTTGTAAATGTAATCTTTGATAGGAATAGCATTACAAATATGTACATGTGGATCACAAATTAAATCACAAGCTAAACATTTACGACTAATGGGAACGAGTGATGCGACGGATTAGGATATAAAATTGTGTTGCATCCCTATTCTGAAGTATTATTTTTCTAAGCATCTAATTGATTCTAATTTCATTAAATATATCTAACAAGTATCTGACATAATATTTATAAAGTATAAATTTCTCTTTTCACTTTTTCACTTAAAAAAAAAAGTAAAAATAACAACCAATGAAAAATCGTTAATAAATACTTAAAAAAAATCACAAAAAAATTCCAAAAATTAAAACAGCTTATCCTCCCCCATAAAAAAAAATACCAGAAACCAGACAAAATCGCCTTTCCATCCGTTCCATCGTTTATCAAAGATGGTCCAACGTTTCCGAGCAATTCGTCCCGCAAACGCCACCCCGAATAAGCGTATGCTCGGTGTCGTGTCCGTTCCACCCTCCTGGTTGATCGTCTCCTTGGTCGGTGCGCTCGCACGTGTTCCATCGTGAAATACTTTGCATCACCGTTTACCCGTCTCTCGTCTCGATGCCCCCCTCCTTTGTATAGGGGCCGCCGGTTTCATAGGCAACTAGGCGTATCATTCGCGTGGGGGAGAGGGGGCGCGCGGAGAGACAAAGAGGCCCCCACCGTATATAGGCTTTTATTTGGCAAACATCGACGATAGACGGGCCGCACAAAGGGAGGGCATTGTCGCGTATTTACGCGGACTGACAAACGGCCAAATACTCGATACGCTGCGCCTCCTCGTACTTTCAAAATACGGGGAACATCCTTCGGGTCTGGCGATATTGGCCGATATGGGTACACCATGGGAAATCGCCGTTCCTTGATTGCTGTTCTTCAAGAGGATTTGCTTTAATTTGTTTCCTCTTTTTTCCATTCTTTTCTTGGAAACTTGATTGAAAGATGATTTGTGGTTTTGTTCATTTTGAGAGAAGGAAGGTATCTTGAATTTTTTTGCAATTTTTCTCTTCTTCTTTTTCCTTTGCCGGTGGTTGCTCTGGAAAGATCTTTAATGGGTGGTGGTGTTCTTCATTTTGAAGGAGTAAAGATATTATGAATACTTTTCTTTGTTTTCTCTTGGAAATCGTGGAAGATTGGTGATTTTTCATTTTGTGGAAGTGGAGATATTTCTTTTGAAATTGGTTTTTTCCTTCCTTTCTTTTCTGTTTCTCTGTAGTTTCTTGGGGAAACTATGGGATCTTGGAAAGTTGATGATTGGAACTATTCATTTTGAGAGAAGATAGATAGATTTCTCTTTGTTTGCTTTTTTGAGTTATATTCTGTTTTTGAAATAAATTAATTACTTCTTCCATCAATTATTGTTTAAAAAAAAAATAGAAGACTATTATTAAGACTATGATTCATTTCTAAAATAAATTTGAAAAATAAATTTTTGAATTAAGCATCAGATTTTTTACGAACGTTGAAGAGTATTATACAAAAGACTATTCATCCTGATCGAAGATCAGAAACAAAAGAAACCCTAGACTTTTTATTTACCAAATATGATTTCTATAGTATGGACAATGAATCGGCAAACATCTCTCAATGTTCAATATGTCAATTCTTCGAGATACACATTCATCTAGCTTCCAGCTATTCTCAAGTTCGATTAACCAACTATAACAACTGTAATCTACAATTGAAATAATTACAGAAAAGCTGCAACAAATTAAAATTAACAAAACTCAATAAACTCACTATGTATTATATCAAAAAATAGAATAAAAGTAAAAAAATTTCTAAAAAGAAATTAAATATATCACAATATCTAATACATGTCTACTAAGAAAAATATATTTGAAATATTTTTCTAGATAAAAAAAAAAAGACAATTTTCATAAAACATTCCCAGATAAGAAAGCAAAAAAATAATCTTTCTAAATAATATCCACGCATAAACGAGAAAAAAATCTTATGAATTGCACATCAAGAGAGAAAAATAAAAATCTCTTTTAAATTATCCTAAAACTAAAAATAATCTATCAATAATGGTAATTAAAAAAAAAAAAAAATTACTACGAGGAAAATCAGATCAAAAGGAAAAATATAATTGCAGTATCACTCAGTTAAAGAAGGGGGTGCATCCCCCGATGACAGTCGACATTTAGCACGGTCTTATCTCGGGCATAATAGAAATTAGGGAAACCTAGTGACCCTCGCGATTTCACGGCGTATAAAGGCACAAAAGTCGGTGTTCCGTTCCCCGGATGAAATATGGTTCCTTGCAGGTGCATCCACCCCATTTCCAACGCTCTCTCCCTCTCCTGTTCCGTCCTATTCACCGGCCATTGTTCAGGATATGTGACACTAACGCCATCCGTGTAATTATGCCGATACGGTTTCACCGTTGTTTCGTGACAGGGGGTCAAAGCATCCCCTAAACACCCTTTGGTCACGCATCGTGGGGGTGCTTTTGCATCATAACACGCGCCACGGATTTTTCCAGGTATAATCTTTAAACGGAGAAATTTTGTTAATTAAAGGATTTTAAAGTAGAAATAATTAAATTTAAAACAGTTTATGTGCAGAATTAAATTTAATTTTATACGGAACATTCATGATTTTGAAAATTTTAGGTTGTTGTTTGCCGATTGACTCGTCTCTAAAGGATTAAAATATGTAAAGAAAGAGATTGAAGGAGTATGAGTGAAAAAAGAAAATTGGAAAAAAGAAAAGTATGGAAAGTTAATTTAATCTTATATGGACAGATTATTCATAATTTTGAAAATTTTAAGTACTATTTGATGATTCGTTTAAAGTATATAATTTTAGATTGGAAAAAAAACAAGAAGGAAGTAATGCAAGTATATTTTCCAAAAAATAAAGTGCATAAAATTAAATGTAAGATTCTTACTTACCCAGAAAGTTAATCACTCGTGAGTTTTTTATACTTCTTTCACTTTTATGAATTATATAATTTATTAGCGTTTGTATTAATATTCTCATTAATGCAAATTAATAATAATATTATCATCAAGAAGAAAATCAATGAAATTTCCATTTTTCAAATTTCTTTAAAGATTAAAATAGGAAAACTCTTTGAATAATTATGCAACAAGAATTACCATATAATTGTATTTTGGTGCGCGTTTATTCAAAGTCGGACAACCAACCTCTAATCGTTCGCAACAAGTGCCTCTCAATCAATACTTTCAATTTCGGATAATTTTCCTAATAGTATGATTAATTTCAAAAAAAAATGGAGGGAAATATCGATTATCAACCATCCCTCGATCTTATAAATTCGCTTAATTTATAATCAATGATGGTAATTTCAAATACGGATCACCCTTCTCCATGCCGCAACCGGATCCAAGAATCTTCAACGAAGTATTACGCTGCAAGGGCACCCTTTTGTGCATGATTAAGGGGGGGCTGGGATGGCCACGTGCAGAAAACTTGTGAAAAGTTCATCGAGGGTGGTCCCCGATCTTTTTTTCTTCTTCTTTTTCACCCAACTACTTTTTTTCGATATATATATATTTTTAACAAAATTTATTGTACACGTTTTCACGTTCGTGTTTTATTAAACGAGAATGTTAAGCAGTTGGAAATTTCCATTTTATTGAATCTATAAGATCCATCTTCTTCTTTCAATTCAATCCCTTCTTATTAATATTATTCTACAATAACCATACATAGCATATATTTGCAATGTAAAGAAAAATTGGAAATAGTGGTTGTTGTTAACTGTGGCTGTTTATGAGAAATTTAAATCATACTTAATTGATACGATATGATCTAAATCGTCCAAATTAAAAAAAAAAAAGGAAGAGAAGAAATTGAGAGAAAGGAAGTGAAAAGTAAAAATTCAAAGTGATACCTATATAAAACTATTCCAGTTTCAAGGAAACGAGGCACCCTCTGACGAGCAGAAAACGACCTATTCCAACCTGGCACGTGCTTGTTCCTTCCTCGCCACGGTCTTAGAGCGGCATTCCACGCTGGTCGGCCCCGGATAAAATGTAATAACGCGTCCTCTTCAGGGCTGGCGCGCACGAATCCATCTTTCGTTAACGAGGGTGGAGGCTCACGATTGCGTCCCAGGAATGCGTGATGACTACTTTGTCAGGAATGCGCCCATACGCGGGAGCAGTTGTGCTCTCGCAACAACCGGAGCTAAGAAACGTCCTTCTCCTCTTTTCTTTCTTTCCTCTCTTCTTTTAATGGAATATGTATCTGGTGGCGTGAATTATGCATTTAACGATTCGAAGTCAAGAAAAGTAGATCTCTTCTTTCTTCTCCTCTTCTTGTCTTCAATGGAGAGAGGAATGGAATCGTATTTCGTGAAGTGATTTATGCATTTAACGAGCAAAGATTTTTTTCTCGCCCTTCTTTCTCTCTTTTCTTTTGATGAAATTTTATCCCACGACGTGAATTACTTTTTAGGATTGTTTCGTGTTTGTTACGTTCGATATCTTCGAGTTTCAGGGAAGTTCATGAATGTTGAGTGTGTATGTCGTAATTTTGTGAGATTTGAATACGATTATTTAGAAAAATAGAAATTAAGTAAAAGATGTGGCAGATTTTAAAAGAGGAAACAGATTTAACTCAATTTCAAATTAAAAAGCAAACATTGAATGCATTCGTAGCGAGAAGGTAGCAAAATTTACATGAACAAAAGGCCTGAATCTCTGTGAATGAAAAAACCACAAAAATCACGGAACTCCTCAAACAATCTCTC